TCGATATTTTCTAGTTATAATTTCTTAGATATTTTTTTTTGTTTTTGTAGAAATTCTAATCATATTGATTTTAAATTTGAATATTTTATATGTTAAAAGGAGCTCAAAATTACCCTTCCTTATATCGAAGCTTCATTATCAGAACTACTGTTAACCGAGGTATTACTCTATTGCACTTATTAACAAAGATATATATATATAATATCTAAGAAAAGTTCGCTAAAAATCAAAATAAAAATAATTTAATTTTAATATATTAAATTTTAATATATTAAATTTTAATTTTTTTGTAATTTTTCTACATAAATGAAATAAATGGAAATTTATTTCAATACATTTCTTAAGTCAGTAGAGCCACCTTACAAACCATTCCTCAAAATCGGCTTTTTGGAGCTTTTCAAGTTCCCCTTTTTTCTGGTTTCCCAACAAATTTTTGAAAACTTGTGTTAAGCAAGTTTCTGTGTACTAATTAGCAGTTACCCTCTGACTAATTTCGAGTAAAATAGCAGCTACCATTTTTACCCTAATAAAGTAAATCAACATAATCACTTTTGTTACCTTCTGCGCTCCATACTACTGCTTGTTTTCTAGGTCAAACTTATAGAAGCAAGTATCATCATAACTGTTACGATTTTACTAAAAGTGCTAGAATATCCATTTTCAAAATTTCCTAAGAAATATTCGGCAAAATGTGCCTTTATTTGGTCGTCATTTAAAAATTATGGAACTAAGCAATGATCTAATATTTGCGACAAAGCCATGGCATTCAAGCCCTGATCATCAACTACCATTTTCTGTGTCAATCTTGGATCTTCGTCAATCTTTGTTTTCACTAGGGCTACATTTGTATCATTGGTCAAAGATTTCGAGCAACCAATTGGAAATAGTCACAAAGGATGATGTATTCACTCCATATACATTTTGGCATTCCTGGGAAATTTGCATGGGCTTAAGTTGACGTCGAAATCCGTAGAGAATGATAAAACAAATTTTTGCTGTGTTGGTGATGGGATTTCTACCAACCTCACATCACCAATGTTGCATTTTCTCCTATCCATTCTTACCGTTAAACTTTAACAAATTGAGAAATAACTTTTCTTTTTTCAGAAACAAATGAATTAGTGTCAACTTAGCGAACTTTTGTTATACCCCTCGTATATAACTATAATTTTGAGAAGATATAAATATTTACAATTTTTTTTCGCAATTACCATTTATTGGAAATCTTCGTGGTATATCCAGTGGCTTGAGTGGCTTTAATAAACATATTATCGTATTTAGAACAAATTCTTAGTACAGTAAAACCAAATAACTTTGTATTATACATTACAGAAACTTTTTTTTATACGGTGGATAGAGACCGCATAAAAAAATCGCACTAAGAAAATACGTCAAAGATTTACGAAATACATTAGAACGTGCATCAAAACAAAATAAATAATTAAATTACACCTGGAAACATTTTAAAAACATTTAATTTCTCATTGTACATGTGGAAAAATTTTCTTAATGCACATACATAATTCACTGCTACTCGAGTTAATCCAAAACGCGCATATTCTTGTGACGAATTGGTTCAAAATCGACTAACAGAATTGTTTGAGCAGTGTGTACATATTCCACTGACATTTTAATGGTTCCAACGCCGTTGGAATTGGTAAGAATTCATATACCGCCTAAAAAAATCGCACTGTATATATTTTGTAATTCCAATGATAATTATATGAAAAGTAAGTATTAATAGAGTTTTAAAAGTAGTTTTAATGGTCAGAAAACGTTGAATTGTGATTTATTTCTCAGCAAGTTGTAATCTTGTAATTTCTTATATTAGTACAGCATTATTATTATTTGTGTCGTTTTATTTTTATGCGATTTTAAAGTCCTCCATTATTCATGTTTCAAACTGAGCGGAATATTGACGGATTGGATTACCATTTGGATATTCTACTATTTGACAATTCTAATACGTTTCTATACAAGAAAATGATTATTTTCGACTAGGTTTTATTCATATTTCCACTTGCAAGTTTACGCATAACAACTTGTAATTTTAAATTATTCGCTATTGGATTTTATATGACCTTTCCAGTGTAATATTCCTTCCAAGTGCATTCTCGTATATTTGACTTTGTTGGCTGTAACTCGTGTATAACATCCCTTTCTTATTTTGTACGTGACATGCAATAATATGGTTTCTTACACAGTCCACATATTTCTGCAAATGGTATCTACTATAAAAAATTACCTTTAATATATTTTTTCTTAAAAATAACTACATTAAAAGAATATAAAACGTTTGTCTGTATTCCCCATTAAAATTTAATTTAAATATTATACCTGATATAATTGAGGTATGAAATAAAAATAGTTATTGACATTTATAAATAACATGAACATAAAAAACGTGATGGAAAAAATATTAATTACATTTGTTTTTAATGTACAAATATAACACAAGAAAGAAAAATCACTCGTAATAATATTGAAACGTGCTCGACACAAAAAAATACACCCACATACATACGTTTGGTGTGTGTGTTACTTATGTTTTCTCTCTTTTTTATGTGCTAAAAATAAATACACACATTCGTTCAATCAATATTTGAAGATCAGTTTAGATCCTGTATGAGCTTTTTGTGGAACAATTTCGAGAAAGTTTTCAAACTTAAAAGTTTACTAATAAAGTTGGAAGACATGTCTGTTCGGTTTAATGAATATGACAAATACGAGTATAACTTGATAATGAAATTTATTAATTTTTAAAATTAGGTTTATGTATTTTTTTTTGTTGCAAAGTTAAATTTAATTGTAATTTGAAAAAAGAAATGATATTTGTAGTATCTTTATGAATAATTTATATAAATATTAATATGTATTGTAATGGTCATACATAAATAAATAAAAATCAATATACATGTTACGGTAAAAGTATACAATCGGTAAATGTATACGTTTACCGATCTTGTGGGTAAATGTAAGTATCAATCTTTTACCGGTTTACATCTAGCTACGTATATCGGTAAAGTTGAAATTATTATACGAGATACAGTTGTTGTATATCAAAGTTAGATTAGGTCACCAACAAACAATGTGTTAGGTTCAAAATAAAATAATTCTGTGTTTGTACGATTAGTTTTTTTTTGACGTAACATAACTTGTATATTTTATTTACCTATATGAACATTTACCGATCTCATTGGGTAAGTGTATACTTTTCCCGGAAATGGTGGGTAAATGTAAGTTGACACATTTACCAGAAAATGTATATATTTAAATGTACTTTTACCGTAACATATATAAATCAAATCATAATAAAACTATAAAAGAATAAACTATTACATTGAGCATAGATCTATAAGCGCCCTATAAGTAATTAATTATTTTGCACTTTCTCTTAATAATAATACTAATAATAACAACTTTTATTACAATTATATAAATTATGATATTTTTACTAATTTCTAAAAATATCTTCTTCTACCAAACAATATTTTAAAAATAAATTCTGTCAAACTAGATTATTAGTCGCATATTGAATATTTCGGTACTCGGCAAATGCTCGCAACTGGACAAATCAATCTGACGGTAAACCAAAACTATAGTTTTAGTTTTTATAACAAAAAAAAAACTCTGTATAATTTGTGAAGTTGATGCTACATTTTAGATTACTTCTTTGAGATGTTCATTATTCTTTACTCGTCGATTTCGGTACTCGACTTAATTTTGTCAAAACTGTCAATTTTTTTGGATAAATTAGGTGTAAAATGTGTAATACTTTACGAATAAATTCAAGATCAAATTTTTCTATTTTTGTTTAGTATTTGAAAAAAAACATGTGGTTCCACTGGGAATTAAAAAGCTTACAAGTAATTCTTCTTTATGTAGTTCCATGGTGCAACCACTGGCACACAAATGGTTAAGAACCAAGATACCACTGTACATTAATTCGTGTATAGCAATATTTCGCATAATCCAGTTTAAAAATTTGAGCAATATATAAATAAATTTAAGAAAATTAATACCCAAATATTTTATTTACAAATGATGGTTTTAAAATCATCGATTACTGGACTAATCGATGACTTTAAACAGTGCGAGATATTTGCTGAACCGCTTACTCGGACTATACGAGTTATTGAACAAAATATGACGGTACTTTAAATGTATGAATTAACATTTATCCATTAAATTGATTAAAATTATATCTAATTATATATTAATAATTACTTAAGCAATGTTTGAAGACACAATACAAGTATAATATTGTTTTATAACAAAAAATACACACCAAATATTTATAAGTTTTTAAGCTATAAATCATTCATTTTATACAAATATAAGAAAATATGAATGAGAATTGAGTAATTTCAGTATGCAACCAAATTGAAAGATATTGCTGCAACTTCAGATAATATTTTTCACTTTAGTTCCTTTTAGAAATATATTATTAAAAAACCTCACTTTTCAATATATAATTATTATTGATATAAAAGGATTTGCGTAAGCAAACGAGATACAGAATTGCTAAAACTGCATTATGAACATTTGATGGTTCGACGCGATAACGCATCGCTTTGTCCTGTGAATTCATAAAACTCAGAAGCATCATTCAATTATTATCAGTGGAAGGTATCGATTTACTTAATTATTATTATAAAGTGTTAATCATTAATACTTTATAATACAAGTTTTTTTTGTGCTAATGAATTTCGTATTTTTAAGGACCTACGTATAGTCTAACGAAAATACAAAATAAAAAAAGGTGGAGTTTAATGAAGTCAACAAGCCGTACCTATCTGATTCAATTGGACTAAATCCCGAAACAAACAATGGAAGTGAATAAAATAAAATATCTGTCCCATGCATTGTGCATTTTGTTTGCCGCACATCCATGTAGGTTTTTTTCAATTTTTTTTTTGTTCAGTGATCGACGCGATAATACAAAAATGCGATAATGGAAAACCGCGTTCGGAGATGTATTAAAACATTAATAGACTCACCATGCACATCCGAACTGATTGTTTGCAGATGCTCTCATATTAATATGGGAAGTATGTCCATTGTTCGAATCCTTTGAGATATCGCTGCTTGGCATCGGCGTCTGGACGCTCCAGTATCGCGCAATATGATTATGAGAGTCCGACTACGCGCGTCTCCGTGATAAGAGGAACTGAGGTATTGAAGAGCAGAGTGTCGACTCCGTGCGTTTGCGATGGGGCCAAAACTGTTCTCCAGCGGATCGCTCGTTCAGACGACGGTTTCCTACAGGTGGCGACCCGGCGACGCCGACGCCGAAGCATCGGGCGCGTCGCGACGCCACCCCCTCGTCGCAAGGACCGCATCGACATCAACATGAGCATCAACAAAAGAGGGAAAACAATTCTGTGTGTTTTCTAATTGCGAATTCACCCGAACGGTGCAAACCGCTAAAACCCAATATTTCATCATGTCCGACCGTAACCAGATTTGCATTCATTAATTAGTAATTATTATATTAACTCAGACAACCACAATTACATTCGGTGAGTGCGTTTATTTTTCAAACAAAACTTGATTGCTTTATTTATAGATGCAAAGTCCACAGATTTAACAATATTTATAAATTGAGCTAATAATATTATTTTGCATATGTAATTTCTAATTCTACTTATATTATATGAAATTAGTAATTCGATTCGTCATTTGCGATGTACCTATGAGTACATTATAATCCGGACTAATTAATTATCAACTTACCATTCTGTTGAACCTCATGCTTTGTTTATATTCCATTCCTTTCATCTACACTAATCAGAGACTACAAAAATATGCTCCATATTCTACCTTGTATATTTGTATAATAGCACAGACTTAAGAAGCGACAGTGAATACGAACTTTAATCGTTAAACATTTTTTGTTAGTCACCTTCTTTGTATCAAACATTTAATTCCCTACATGAATTCATGATTTTTAATAAGTATAAGGTAAAAAATAGGAAATGTATCTATTTATTTAATATTTTCTATAATCGATCCAAAAATGCTAAATATATCTTTAATAATGATACAAAAACAAGAAAACAGTTTCAACCACAACCATGAATTTTGGTAGCCTGCTAAGTATAGCTCTGGAAAATAGTCAGGACCCACAGAAAGCAGTAATTATACATACGACCCAGGCGCAAATTTATTGTGTTTTTCTTCTTGTCCTGGATCAATTATTACTAGATCCATGGATTTTAACTTCCGAAAAAAAACAGTGCTCGAATATCTACTGCAACTTAGTTCCAAAAATAAAAAAGAACGAAATCGGCGAATCAATATCTATGATACAAAATTAGGACCTGCTTAGGACAATTACGAATATGTATCTGATAGAGTATCCGAGAAGTACAATAAGAAGTCTAATGAACCAAAGTTCAGATTCGTCAAGAAAAATATAAGCAGTCCAATCAGGTCAATCAAGATAATAAGGTTCAGAAGAAAAAGAGTTGAAGAAGCTGTTCAAACTTGTTGAAGTTGACTGAGAAGAAGTGATTTCAACCAATTGTCGTAGAACAATAGAAGTATAAGAATGAGGAGCAACTGTTGACCAAAAATCAAAAACTTGCGGTGCAGCGTGAAAAAAAGAAGCCAAGCAGGAAAAGGGACTAAAACCTTCCCTAGTGCTCTTCCGAAAAGAATTCCCAAATTGGGAGAGAACAGAAACAAGACTCCTCAAAGCCAAACTACATCATAAATTGAACAAACCAACAGAAGAAGATTACAAGCGTTGTCAAATATACCAAAAGACCTGATTATTACTCGACATACATTATCTTCGGCTATTATAAACAGAAATATAGCGACAAGGAGGAATATTTGATAAATTTCATATTTTTATCGTTCTTCCAGTAGATGCGAGAGGAAATTATCAGTACAAAAATGGGTAGGCATCAGGATCTGAAGTACATGAAGATAAAGAAGTAATACAAGAGGCTAAAACCGATGATTACATTAAAGATAATAAAACGCCAGCTTCCAATCTTTCTTCGTTGTAATTTGTTAATATTTTTTAAATATATCAAATAAACACTATCATAAAAATAGCTTTTGTTGTTGATATATAATGTGAAATGGTAATTAAATTTGTTTTACAGTGTACCTTTTATAAAAATATAAATATAAAAATAAGAATTACATATATTCAAATTACACTGCAGACCACCAAAATTGTCTCATGGACCAACGGTTGGCAACCGCTGCTTTAGTCAACAACAGAATGGTGCAATGTGAACTCTGTACTCCAAGTTACATTTTAAAAATTCGCTACTTTCAAATTTGAAAGAAATTTAGATTTCTTCACTGTAAATAGTAGCTGCTATCATGGCACTCTTTGGACCCACAAAGGAAAGAATACTATAACAAAAGAAGTGACACATCAACTGTAGTAAAAATTTACCAGAGTACACAAATTCACAGTTTTTTTTTTAATAATGTGTAGAACATCAGTTACTCAACCTGAACAATTATTAATTCAACTCCATTAAACTGCTGGAATATATTTGTATTTAATAACTTAATTAAACATATGCATACTTTAGTTAACATATTAATAGATTTTTTATATTATTAAAACGATGAAAAATGTTGTAATAAACTAATTAAAACTTATATCGTATCGCAAAACTAATTACGCGTCCCACGAAAGTTTTGTGGTAATAAAATTACAAAAACTAAAATACAGCCGCAGACCGTCGGCTGTATAAAGAAGAAGGCCGTTCAAAAAGCGCATACACAGCAGGAATACATGAACATCTGATTAATCTGCAGCACCATGATGTCCACCAAGCAAATTTGCATTCAGTATGAGAACTCCGCATTGGATAATTCAAGTACATAGTTTAACGAAAGAGTATTTACATTAGACTCAGCATGGGAATTAGGGTGGTAATCAAATACAAAACCTCTAATGAGTAAATAAAATCTTTGATATCAGACATATCTATAACTATTATAGAAAATCTTGACTTGCTCAAAATTAGTTATGAGATTCTTAAAGTTTAATTACTTTTCTGAAGTAATATTTGTATAAGAAATATTCTGGTTATTAATACTATTTAAATAATATAATTAACTTTTAATTTATAAAATATTGATTATTTATTTTGCTTCATTGATAATATTATATTAAATTACAATATTTAATAAATGATGAAAGTGCACCCAACATTTCCTGGTGATTATTCTATATAACAATGTATAATTGTTTATGATAATTATAGTATATATTAGTAAGAGAAATCATTTATTGATTTATTTTTGTTTAGCATCCTTTTAATTTACGAACTATTCTATAATAAAAACATTCAGGCGGTTGACAAGATTTGATTGGACAGCGCCCACTGGCGATTATTCTTTACTTATTGGTTATTTATTGAATCTCAATGGTAGATCCAGTGGCTTTTGTCCCTTCAGTTGCTGTGTTGTTAGGCTATTGCCAAGAAGATTGACAGCTAATACGTTTGGATATCTGTCTAATCTACCTTGGTATTGGCTACGGTTTTTCATAATTGTTTCCTCTACTGTTTCTATTTGAAGATGCTCATGAATTCTCCTGTTCGTAATATAACAATGATCCTTCTTAGGCTCTTCGACTGGAATCTTTGTATGGTCGCAATATTAGATCTGCTGCTGACTCCCCATAGCTGAATTCCGTATGTCCAAACAGGACTCCTGACATGATTGGATACAAATTCGTCACTGTATAGTAAGTGTTCACTTGAAATAATCTTCCAGTCAAATATGAGTGTATTATTTATGAGGTCAAGCTTTTGACTTGATTTCCTATTTAAGTTATTATAATTTTATTATTTTTAAGTTTTCTAATAAAATAACTATATTTTCGGACAGAAAGACCTATGATGATCAATAGCCGTTTGAATCAGTTGACTTTTTGATTTATGATATTTATATTATTGTATTGAGTTTTTTATTTTGTAATTTTACTGTTTCAATAAATATTATTATTAACTATTTTTCTTCTAATAATTACTTCTTTTTCAGCCTCTAAGCATGGACTCCTTGACATAGATGAATATTTAATTTGTGAATAAATATTTATATATGCAAGTGTATGTTTTGTTTCTAAGCATTAACAAGTATAAATATATCCTATATAAAATTGTGCGAAAACCGGCAAATACACAGAGAATCACGTGGTATGTGGCCAGTCGGTATTTATGTAATAAATCCATTCGACCCTCGGGTTTATTGAATAGTAAATTTCAACGGTTTTTGTTTTCATCTGGCCGTGCGATTAAAATAAAATAAACTCGACGCCCGTTTCAACTCGAATCCCGACGATTTCTCCCGCTTTCTCCGCGCTATCAAAACAATTCGTCTCCTGCAAGTTGAATTCAGCTATTCTAAAGTTTTAATTGTAAATAAAGTTAAAGCTAACTTTAGGCTCTATCCGAGTTCGAACTTCGCCAGATCGCATTACGAACTCATCATGATAAATTTATTTATTTTATCAGTCAATTCATTTTTTTCTCACAGTTAATTTATCAATCGTTAAAAATAGTAGTTACTTCAATTTCATCTACATGTATTCTAAAGTAATAAAATATGTACGTATATAAAAAAATACTAAGAAAATTTATATAATAAATATGTATATTAATTAAAAGCCATTTTGATTCAAATAGCCCTTTATATGTTATTGTATAATAAATTTTGTTTATTTTATATTTATTAATACAGATTACATAATACATTTATGTGATAATTGGTACGATTTTGAGTAATAAGTCAACCATGAATATACGTAACGCATAGTTAGAATTGCATAATAAGAATTGAACGTTGCAAGAATTAGATTGTTTCTTAAAAATAGCATAATATATTAATATTTAGATTTTATTTATTTATTTATTTACAAAACTGTTTTTTTCTTTATAGAATTATTGATTATTAGTAATTACTCATAGTAATAAGAAACATATAAGAAACATAATAAGAAAATGCAAGATTAGTGATGTAATGTTGGTAGAAATTCCACCACCGACACTGCAAAAAATTGCTTTGCCATTCTCTACGGAAATCGAGGTCAACTCAATCCTATGCAAATACCAGGAATACCAAAATGCATATGGAGTGAATGCATCATGCCTTGTGATTATTTCCAAGTGGTTTCAAAGATTTCAGACCGGACATTTTTCTGTGGTGGACGAAATCATCGTCCGATGATACAAATGTAGCCCTGGTGAAGGCAAACATTGACGAAGATCCAAGAGTGACACAGGCAATTGTAGTTTATAAACTGGGCTTAAATGCCATGGCGCAAATATTAAATGATCACATAAGCTGCACGAAGAAATCCGCTCGATCCGAGTTCCAGGATTTTTAAATGGCGACCAAATGGCACGTGTTCGTGTTCGTTTTGCCGAATATTTCTTGGAATATTTTGAAAATAGAGATTCTAGCACTTTTAGTAAAATCTTAACAGGTTCTATAAGTTTGACCTGGAAACCAAGCAGTCCATGGTATGGAGCACAGAAGGTGCAAATCCCCCCAGTTAAAGCAAGAAAACAAAAATCAGCAACAAAAACGTCGATTTAATTTACCACCGAAAAAGTGGTAGCTGCTATATCACCGGAAACTGGTCTGACGGTAATACAGAAACTTGCTTACTACAAGTTTTCAAAAATTTGTTGGAAAACCAGAAAAAAATGAAATTCCCCTCATCACGATCATGCGCCCACTCACACTATTGAAATAACTTTCTTGTGCTCTCTGGCATCAATGAAATTCGCACAGCACCTAATTCTACCGACATAACGCCTTGTGATTTCTGGCTGTTTCCAAAAATTTAAAAAAATAAGTAAAAAGTCTTCAGTTCCAATGAACAGATCATTAATTAAAAGTTAAAATTCTTCAAAGATTCGATTTTGAGGAATTTACTGACTTAAGAAATGTTTTGAGATAAATGGAAATTATGTAGAGGAATTACAAAAGGATGAAATTTAAATATATTAAAATAAAATTGTTTTTTTTTTCAGCCAACTTAGCGAACATATCATACAGCCTAATTATATATTTCACTACGAACCAAATAATATACTATCAATTGATTATTAATTAAGTCAGTGTAATTTACTCTACTCCGGATCAGTTGCCATGAACTTTGATGTAAATTGCAAGTTAATAATTATCAAAGGCTATTGAATATGCATTATGAACTAATTGATGTACATTGTTGTTACAAATATACAAACTAGTACAATGTACATATATATTAAGACTTGGGCTAATTGCAATAGCTATGAAGAGTGGGATGTGAACAAAACTTGAATTTTAGAAACATTGAAGCATATAGTGATCAGAACATATACTTCGCTTTTATAATAACTCTATAAGTCTTAAACTGTAATCAGACCCGTCGCTAACGCATAGACAAATCAGTTACTGCCTAAGTATAATGTTAATTACTGGATTTGTAAATATTTCAATGCAATAGTAGATACATAAGCTTTAAAAAACAGATTTGCGTTATAAAATCTTACAAAAATACAGGATGGGCCAACCTTGGCTGACTAATGTAAAATAGATATAACTTTTGTAATTGTAGATATAAGTATAGTTTATTAGATTTAAGTGTGGAAAATAATATCCTTTAAATAATCTCCATTTTCTTGTTGCATTCTAATGCATTTCTGGCTCCAAATTTGATATTTCTTCACGAATAGTATACTTAAGCTGGTTTATTATTTGTGGTTTATTCTGGTAAACCGTCCACGCAAAAAGAAATCAGGCGCCTTAAATAGAGAAAAAAGGGATGCCAAACGAAATCTGAATTTTTCATAATAATTCGGTCACCGAATTTATTAGCATATATAAGGTATTGTTCTAAATTCCGTACTAACAATTTTTGGGCCAATTCAATTTTGTATAGAAACCTCTTCAATATTCGTCTTTGATCAGGATTATCGTTGACACTTTGTTTCATTCACCACAGCTTCTTCATTGCGAATAGGTCGATAAACATTTCATCGTTGATGATCACATTTATGTTTCTAATTATGTTTGCACTGGGAACTGTTGGAACATTAAAATCTTGGAAACATAATAAGTTATAATTATAGAAAAACTATCTGAATATTTGACATTCACTATGTACTTCATGCTCAAAACATGACATTGCATGGTAAAATGTAAAATGTGTTGCATAAGAAGATTTACTTTTTGTAAAATAAGAAAAAAATATAACAATTAAGTTAATGGAGTGGAAAGACCTATAGTCAATATTTCATTGCAGAAGTTAACTTTTTGTTTCATTATTATAATTGTATAAACATTTTATTTTGTATTTTTATTGTTACAAAAATGATTATTATTATTAAATTAAACTGCATTTGCAAAGTCCTACAATCTACGTGTAAATTAAAAAATCTTACTTTATAGTATTTTCGTTTTAAATATTATTTATACTAGGGTTTCCCAAACTATATTTCGCGGAACACTGGTTCCGTGGAAATCTGGAATGAAATTTCTGGAATTTAGATTTCATTGATGTTGTGTTATACCTACCTACAAAAGAAACAAGGTGTTCCGTGAAAATAACTAATTTGGTGATTTCTACATTAATAAACTAATTGAATAAAAGTAGATTGTAAATTATAAATTGAATTAAAAAAAGTTAATCAATCACTTGGAATTTAAACAGTAAATTCAAAGTTCATAATTTATAATCAATAATAACTATGTTTTAAGTTTATGTTGTAAAAATGGTGCAAATGCATCTGTGTTCATAAAATATTAGAATTGATGTAATATGGGAGAGTTCGGTGAAAAACAATTTATAATACTTTTATTAGAGCCACATTAATAATTTAATCCGAAATCCCTGGAAAGTGTTCACCGTGTCGATCGACATTTCATAAAATAAAAAGCATATAAGAAATGTAGGGTCAGCAGAAAATGCATTGTTACTTATTGAATTTTTTCCACTGGAAAGTTTCATTTAATTTTATTTAATTGTAATCAAATTATTGACAGAAAGAAATTATTAGCATTTTAACAATAATGGAAAATTTTCATATTTATTATATAGTTTAATACAGTAAACCTCGATTAACAAAATTACTTTGGTAAGTGAAAGAAATAACATTACTATTCCCAAAATGGAAAAAGTTCGTTTATAATCATAATCTAAAGTTGATGTTTGTCCTTTTTTTTACAATTTTTTATACAAAATTATTGAATTACTTCATCACATAGCTGTAAAACTTTATACTGAATCAGGACAAATTTACTAAAAAAAAATCCGATAACTTCATTTCTAATTTCTTTCATGTTTTACTTCTGCTGGTCATATTTTGATCATATAATGAAAACTTTATTATCAGAGGTAACTTTAACCGATGTACAAACATATATACAATTTCATTTAATTTAAACGTATTTGTAAAATTACATTAACCTGGGTATATGTAAAATGCAAATTGAAATTTATTTTTATTTTTGTAATTATTTATATTATATTCAAAATAGATATACACATTTTAAAAATTGTATTCTACAATTTATTATTAATATCCTAAATGGAAGATTATAACTAAAACTTAATAATTCAGTAACTTATAGACCAGGCGCATCCACTTTTTATATACGTATACATTGTTTATAGAACGTTACTAGATCATTTGAAAACATGTATAATTTTATCAAACAAAAAAATACACTTCTTGGAAATAAATTATATTTAGCTTTGTAAATGATTTCCTTTAAAAAGTCACCTTTTTGATTATTCTGTAATGATTCTTGGCTTCAATTTTCATTCAATTTCTTTAAGGATGCCTTCAATTATTAAAGCATGCACAAAAATGTTTAGCATATCTCGATTTTTTTCTTCAGATACGGTGAGTTTATTTTCTGCCTCATCTTCAAAAAAAGTAAGGTCCACGAACTCTTTCCGCATTTAACCACACCAAGATATTGTAAAATTGTATATAAATAAATAAAAAAAAAGTCGTTTCTTTGTGAACCAAGTTGGTATACTATTCTAGGATCCCACAAAATTTGATGTTTTACGTTCAATTGATTATTGATTTGATATATAAAATGTGATTATTTTCCGGTTTTAATTTTCAAAAAAATAATAATTGTAAACAAATTATTAAAAAATCACTTCATTCACTTCAAACTAAAAAGTATTTATTACATATTAAACCATAACACATTAGCAAAATAATGAAAAACTTTTCTTAAATTTGTAAATAATTAACTAAATATTCCACATCGGATTCTTTTAATAAAATATAGTTATATTTTTTTACAGAAATAGCTCTTTAAATGGAACTTTCTTCAATACGTTATTGAAGATTTGTTTAAACAGAATAGCGTATGCTTGCTCGTGAGATGACTTTGCTTCTCTAAATATTTCATTGGAGTTTTCCTTCAAAACAGTGGCGATTCCTTTGCTAATTTCATTATCCCCGGATAGAAGATTATCAAAATAGAGTTCTACATCGTATTCAATAAACTCCGTCTTGAAGTCCGTAATATGTAAATGTTCGTTGTCGCCGATCATAATTTTTTCGCACTTTATGCTGTGCTTAAATATAGGTTTGTCTAAAAAAATATAGAAAATCTCAATGCATTTGATTTGCAATTATATATACTTACTTAATGTGAAATTGGATTTGCCTTCACTATTGATTTGAAACACCAGATATTGTCCTTTCAGTGTGTAATCGGCGAGTACACGAATTTTTTCAGTTGTTGCGATCACCTCCATTTCACACTTGTCAAAATCGATACTGAAAACATGTACAGTTGTACCTTAGTTTACTAGAATAATTCGTTGCTTAAAACGTGCTCGTATATCAAAACGTATTTATCTATGATCTTGATACAGTTTTTAATGTGATTTTTTCAAAACCCTCGGACGGTAAAGTTAACGTATAATTAATATTCGTATTGCAAGACTTCGCTAATCACCCGCAATCCAAGGTACCAATTACATAGTAATTTCTTTACTTTCATTAAAGTTTCATACTTTCTGATATTAATAATATACTCAAGCCATATTTATATCAATTTAGGCATGAAATCTTGTTCAAATTATAAATATAGCCGAATGGTTAAGTCGCTCTAGTCAAATCTCTGTGGTTCGATTCCGCTCATGCCAGGCATAGGGCCATCGTTCATCATGAATGGACAGTGACATAAATGTGCTTCTGCAATTGACCTCTAGGAAAGTCAATGGACAATGACAGTGTTAATGATAGCAGCAAATACACAGACAAAGGGAACAGTAAAATCTCAGAGCATATACTATTTAAGTGAACCTACAAGACGATAGCCAAAGTTTACCAAAAACAAAGATTTACTTAATGATCACAGGAATAGATTGTAAAATAAATATACTATATGACATAAAAAAATATACATATAATTGAATTAAATACGAAACTGTTGGGTTGGCAAATTTCGGTTTTTTAATCTGAGGATTCAAGGTTGGTATATCCACGCGACATTACTTTCCAACCAAGCTCTAATAATTTTCCCATAGTTATCAAAGATGTGTGACTATTTGCATTATTTTGGTGAAATACATTTTGTCAATTCTGGCCATTTTTCTTTAATTGCTTCCCTAGTTTCGTTAGTTATTGCCAATAAACATCTGCATTGATCATTCAATTTATGCGAATATCCAGCTTCTTCATATGTCCAGGAAATTTAATGAATTGTAAGTTAATGTGTATAATTCTGCAACCTCTTGCACAGTTATATAACCATCCGATTCAATTACGACTTTGATTTGGCCATCTTGAACTTCAGTAGATCGACAGTAGTAAAACTGATTTTTTTAAATTGACTTCACATATCTCTTTGTGATACTTAGTAGACATATTCGATTTTGCACGTCTGTTTTAATTAACCCTAAACTAACAGCTGCAAAAGCTCGTAATTGGCTTCTAAAGGAAGCTAAAAGTGACATCTTGCAGATGACAAAAGGATAAGATCATAACATTAACACAAGTCATTCAAAACTAACATAACACTATCTATATTTGTGAAAACTGATTTTTTTATTTGTCAATTCAGTATTTTGTGTAATATTGCGAATCAATTTTGATAAAACATATTCCGTGGTGATAATAATTATAATACTGAATTTTTATATAATATCGTTATTCAAATAAAAATACTTTTTTCTCATTGGCAAAAACAATTAGAAAATTTTAATTAAAACAGCATCCAAGGTCGTTCAATTTTTATACAAATTAAATTAATTGCAAATAATGCATTTTTAATTTGATTATTTTTTTGAGTAATATATCAAATATATATAATTGTTATTACTATAATCGTATTTATCAACATTAAATGTTGAATTTTTAATGTGATGTCATGAACAATATGAATGGAAAATTAAACTTGTATTTTAAAATAATAATTAATTAACAAAATTTTTTTTAAAATGACAAGAAATTTGCTCTTCCAACCTTATTCACGAGACATTGAAATACCAAATATTTGAACGAATAAAAATATAATTTTAAGTAAAAAGTGACATAATGTCTACTACTTACTCGAACTTATCCACCGAAGTAGATGTTATTCCATAAATTTTCAGGTTCTTGTAGGTTTGGTCCACATTGGTACTTCCTCCGCCAGTTGCTGACAGTTCGGTAATTTCCAAAGGATCAACCGAAATCAAACTAATTTCCTTTAAGCCACCTATAAAATAAGAATTATATATAATTATTTTTTATTTATTTAAATTAATAAATTGAAAATACTTTTAGCATACTTGTGGAATACTTTCTCTGTTTGTTCCCTCATACACTTGCTCAAATCAGGATCTGCTAATTTACATCTTTCGATATCGGATGCTAAATAAAAAAAACTTTAAATTACAAATACAGTGAAACTTCACTTAACGAGTAAACATTTCCGGATTTTTACTCGTATAGTGAAACAATTTTACCCATGTAAACTAATGTAATATACGATAATGCGTTCCATTTTGGACTCATTTTTCTTAAATTTATTTTAATCGTTAAGCGAAATGCTCGTTATGCGAGGTGCTCGTTTAGCGAGGATCCACTGTATTAGAATATTTAATAAATGTATTTCCATAAGTGATAGTTGTTTATTTGTCGATATTCTGACATAATTGCGCATAATTGCTTTTTGATTGATGTATGTTTTGACATTAAGTTTCACATAATTAAAAACATTTTAATTAATTTATGTTAATGAATTCAATATCGAATAGTGCAGCTCCATATATTTTGGAATTAATATACATTTTTTAATTTTAATTTAATTAACATACATTATTATAAATATCTATATATCAGAAACAAATACAAGAATAACTCACATAGAGCAGATAATCGGTTCCGTCAATATCCCGCACAATTTATTTTAAGAATATTTAGGAATTTTCATATATTGAAATAATTATAATGAAATTTATAGCAAGATTCTAATTTAAAATAATATTTCTATAATGTTTTATAATAAACTAAATTAATAAGTTTTGAATTAATAATAAGACTTACGAAAACTAATGCTGTACACTGATGCGTAATAATAAGTAAGTAATATAAAAATAGTAATTTTAAACATTTTTTTTTTTTCAAGTTGGACTATTAATAAGAATGTATGCACTTCTAGACTGGTACATCATTGATGTATCCGCCATATATAATTGCAATATACGTTAACCTTTGTCCATTTTAAGTGCATCAATAAATATCTTTTTGTATCCAATAAATATATTTAATTATTACTTAATTTAGATAATAAACATTGTTAAATACTGCACATCCTTGAACAAACAATTCGCGTACCTTCATGTATGAAATACGTAAAAGATGATGGAGTCATTTTTCTTACAATTTATTTTGCTCGTTATGCAAGGTGCTCGTTAAGCGAGGTTCAACTGTAAACAAAAAAAGTCTTTAAATATGATTATTATTTTTATAAATCATCTAGTAAAATTCTGACAATAATTTATGTCTAACAGTGACTTCTTTCCATAAGCTATTAATGTTTTTAATCTTTAACGATGTAATTTCTTTTAGAAGTTTTAATTAATATTTGTACCAAGTGGATAATAAGCACTGCATATTTTTATGACTCCCTGATCGCTCGTTTGAATCTAGAATGATATAATTACAAGTATTCTTATGTTACTTCTTGTTAAACAATTACAGTTAATAGCTATTTGTAATATGCGCTTGGTTAACACTGATTTAATGGGACCCTTAATAATGCTTAAAATTTACCCGAATTTAAATTATCGCGGCATTTCGTATACGATTAAGAAAAGTAACAAATGACTTCAGATGATTTTATTGCCAAAAAACACAAGTACACAAGAGGACCTTCATCACAAAAATAAACTTAATATTGCTGTGTGCAAATGTTTGTGTTATATAAAACTTACTGTAAGTACAACTAATTATTGTAAAATTTGTTTATTTTTGGTCGTGTGTTCCCGTTTCCCTATTTACTTTGCGTTAAAATGACCTTTTATAACGTTGTTTCGTTTAGCGCTCTGTCGTTAGGAACACAGCGCTAAACGAGGTGTTTCTGTATACATGATATGTTGTTTAATGACTGACTTTTCCAATAAATATAATTTAATTACAGTTTTTAAAATGAATGCAAAATAAATTATCAAAATGGATACATTTATATTCCTTCCTCATAAATTATATAATAATTACTGACAATGACTAACATATTTTTTATAAAGACTTGTCATCTACGATTTATTTTATAATTGACGTGGAAAAGTTCTAGGTACTACATTCTTTTGCTGAAATTCAGAACTCCTTTTCTTTCTGCCTTCCTCAAGAGTATATTTTGTTCTCCAAAACAGTCTGCCACCGTCTTCTTTGTCGGCCAAAAGCCGTAACTCCTGGACTCCACAGCCGTCTTCATTCACAGTTAAATCACAAATTCATATCAAGATAAACAAATTGTATGGAGGAGCGTAGTTTTTATATTACAACGTACAATATTGTTTCTTTCATAATATAATTATTATTATTCTTTCAAGCAAATAGCAGAAATAATGCTGCTTTTCTTCCCTTACTTTCTTTTTTAAAGATAGAGAGAGATAAATTCAGGAACATTAAAACTATATTTATGCGAATTCAAATTACGCGATCATTAAATATAAATAAAAAATCATTCGATAATGATAATGAGTTTGTGATAATCAATCAAGAAAAGGTTGTATTAAATAGCGATAGTGACTTCGAATAAAATTTTCTCTTGTTTTCAGAAATGTTATCATTATTTTATACAATAAATAGTATTTCCAAAACTTATAATAACTTTTATTTCCATTTTTTTTGTACTTAGAGACTTTATTTACGCGTTAAAAAAAACTACGTGCAACCAAAAGTCGCTTAAAATCAGGGACGCCTTTATATAGTAATCAATTCTAACTACTGCGGCTGGTCATTTTAACCAAAAGATCTTAAACTATAGAAATGATGTTTGAGACTCTTTATTAAAGCAAAAAAGGAACGAGTTCTGTTTTGCCACGCTCTAGTTACGGTGCTACATAAAGAAATAAATAATGCATACATTAGTTAATTTATTTACACACAGTACAAAAGCTTTCATCTTAAATAAACTAAAAATTCACTTTCAAACTAAAAATGATATGTAATTTAATTATCTATTCATCAATATGATATTAAGCAAATAGCTCTTTCAATGGAACTTTCTTAAATACGTTATTGAAGATGCGTTTAAACAGAATAGCGTATGCTTCTTCGTGCGAAGGTTTCACCTCCGTAAATATTTCATTAGAGTTTTCTTTCAGAACATTGGCGATTCCGTTGCTGATATCTGTGTTTCCAGCAAGGAGATTATCGAAATAGAGTTCGATGTCGTATTGGATAAACTCCGTCTTAAAGTCTGTGATGTTCAAATGTTCGTTTCCGCCGATCATGATTTTCTCGCACTTCAAGTTATGCTTCATTTTGGAATTCTCTAAAACAATTCAAGAAAATCTCAATATTTATGATAATGTAATCATTTGAGGTACTTACTTAGTGTGAAATTTGATTTTCCTTGGCTATTGATTGGAAATACCAGCAATTGGCCTTTCAATGTATAATCAGCGAGTACATTAATCACATCCGATCCGCCGATCGCCTCTATTTCGCACTTGTCAAAATCGATGCTTAAAACATACGAATTGTAAATTAATTTTTCTTTCTTCTAGGATCATTTCTTTCATCTTTAATCGATGTATTTTAATCTCTTAAACAAGAAATATTTTAATTATAACATATTAGAATTAATTACTCCAAGAAGAGATTCCAAGAATTTTAAAATGAAGAATAAATAAACAACAATATTTCAGCGTTTTTTAACCCTTTCTCTGCGTCCCAACTTATTTCATTTCGCAAATCATTAATAATTGTAGATATTTATAGACAACTCAAAATAGAACATTAATGTCGAAGATAAAATATATAGCATACATAATGAATATACTGATCTCCAATTTTCGATTGCGTTTTCCAATTATTAGGAGCAAATAAAATTAAAACCGCGTTCAAGGTCGGTCTATTATTTATGATTCCATTAAAACGTTAAATTGATTGTAATTAAAAACATGTATATGATAATATTGCTCTATAAGTCAATACAGTTTTTCCAAAGTAAGACTTTTTATCAATTGTAAGGAAAATGTTTTTTTTTTATTGCATTATATATATTTGAAATATAAATTAGAATTAATTCTTTTATAGTTATCTATTTTAATAAGTGAATTCAATAATTTGAATTGTAATCAGCATAAAATGAATTACTTACTCGAACTTTTCTACATACGTAGATGACATTCCGTAAATTTTCATGTTCTTGTAGGTTTGATCCAAATTGGCGCTACCACCGCCAGTTGCTGACAATTCAGTAATTTCCAAAGGATCAACCATGATTAATCCAATGTCCTTTAATCCACCTATAAAATAAATATTTAATATATTTAGAATTAAATATTCATTGACATTTTTAAATTGAAATTACTTTTAGCATATTTGTGGAGTACTTTCTCTGCTTGCTCCCTCATACATTCATTCAAATTAGGATCTGTCATTTTACATTTTTCGATGTCGGATGCTAAAAAAAATGGTTTATATTAAACATAATTTTAAACACAGAGTAAAAATATTCTTTAAAACTTCCAATATTACTTAAAATCATTTAGCTATTGAAGTAATTTTGTGATAGTTAAGTGTTACATGCTGATACAGGTAGGCCTCGGTGTACGCTGATTCGCTATAACGCTGCTACGCAATAACGCTTATTTTGTACTTATGTAGAATCTAATCTTATTCCTACTTTACTGTAAATAAGGGTTCATTTTACGCCGATTCGATTTACGCCAGCTTTTGTAGGAACGAAACTGCTGCTTAAACCGAGGGCTATATATTGATTAATATTTCGAAAATAATCTACCAAACATAAACTATAATAATTGATAATTATTAACAAATATTAATTTAATATGTACGTTTATAGAATCAATAAACTTTTTAAACTGTAGTAATTTATTATTAAATAGTAGGTGATTTAATAAGTTTCTAGTTCACTTAAGAAAAATATGGCAATGTCATTAGAAAAGATTGCATGTATGCATATATATATATATAATATAATTTCTACATTTAAAAACGTCAAGTATATAATAAATTATATCCAGACACAATTATTATATAACTTATCTTATTAACATTTACTATTAGAAAAATTCACATAAAACAGTAAGCATTGACAATGTTTTAAAAAATTGCAAATTATAATTTTCAAAATTAAATAAATAATTTAATTTAAAAATTATAATTTCTGAATTGTATTAATTAATACTAAATTGACTTACGAAAACTGCTGTAAACTGATGCACAATAGCATGTCAGCAACAAAACAACTGTAAATGTATGCATCATAAAAGCAACTCTCCGCACTTTGTGCTTGTTTAGACTAGGACAAGTTTGAAATTACACGTTATATATACGCGTGGAGAAGCTGCGATAACCTTCATATAATTTAGCAATTATACATGCAAGAAAAAAAAAACTGGAAATAAACTAAATTAACTTGATTTGTACTATGAAAATTACTCTTCGTATCCTTGCTAAAATTTAAATACTATAAATTTTATTTTATGAGGTTAATCATCATGTTGTTCGTATTGTGAATACCTCATACATGAATTTGAAATACCATTAAAGAAGACCATGTAAGCATATTTTCGACCACAATTAAGATGCATAATAGTTAGATTTGCGCATTTCTCAAATAAATTGGAAATTCTAAGTAACAACAAAAGTCAGAGAAAAATTGTCGTAGAAATGCGTGAAGACAAAAGTCTGACATTATTGCAAGAGTGAATGGAAAGAGCAGGCGAATATGATTTTGACCAATATGTGGTACTCCTGAAGATCTCAATACTTCTAATTAGTTCATTATTATTGTAATACTATTATTTGTAATTTGTTTTTCAACTCGGCTTAAAGAGAAACCGCTCTCATTAGACTTACAACAACAATATAAAGTCTAACAAATAGAAAATATTCCAATTTATACTAGTATTTTTTATGACGTAATAATTTTATTTACAAACTATTCAATATGAAAAATAAGTAAATTTAATCGTAGTTGACATTAAATGCATATACTTTCCCGATGGATGTTTATCATTCTGAACATTAATAATGATTAATTAAGTCTATATACTAAATCTAGTGATTTGCAATTCTTAAGCTTATTTGTTATTTCCCTATTGTTAAAAAGGCCAATAGCCAAAACATTAGAATGTGATTCCAGTCTATCTTTGTATCTACAAAAGTTGTATTTTTGACCATATCTATACAGAGATCTTCATGTATTTGTTTATTCTTGACGAACCACGGTACCTTGATGAAAGCACTTATATAATCTAATATGAGAAATGGATGTTTATTTTACCAAGCTTTTATTTATAAATAGTATGTAGTAAATAATTGCAATAAATATGTCTTACATAAGATAAGAAAAATATAATGAAATAATGGACTATTAAATTATTAAGTACTTAAAATGAGTTAAATAGTTCAATCTAGTTGAATTTTGAGAACAATCTAATCAGCCTAAACCCAATATTCTCTTAAAATCCACACGTGGATCAGTTGTGAATGAAAATAAAATGTTTTGAATCATTTCAAATAATAAATTAATGAAATGTCTTAAAACTAGTTTATTTCAATGTTATTTAAGCACTTTTTTAAATATATGTTAACTTTTTTGGTCAGAAATTTCTTTAATTTCGTATTAATTTGTTTTTATTGCTAATAATATTTTCTAAATCTTCCACTAAAAATTTGTTACATTTCCTTCAGCTTCATTTTCGAAAATAACTAAATGTAGTATTACAAAAAGATAATAAGAATAAAATACGGAAGCAAAAATGCGACATATAGTAAAAAAAACTTTGAAATATAAACTTATTAAAATTTATATTAATAAACAAAATGCAGTCGAGGAATAGCTGAGATCTTCTTCCGATCCTCCAGTACAATTTAGCAAACTTGATGCCTAGTTGCTTCCTTTTGACTGCGATGTGCTTCTTCCACGTGAGTCTGTGATCCAAGAACATTCCGAAGTATTTGGCATCATCGACTTGCAAAATGATTTTGCTTTTCAGTGTTACCGGGGGACAGGTTCCCCTTTTAACATATTTATTGGTCAAGTATTGACATTTATAAATTTAAATAAAGAGAAATAAAAAATAAAATCGTGAAATAATGCAAGATCCTAGGTAGATTTAATCTCTTTCTTTTAATTAATGCAAATTTATTATGTATATATTTTATTTTATATATATTATAATTTCATTTTTCCTCGAATTCCAAATATTCTTCCAAAATTCAAGTATCCTATTGAAATTTTTAATGTCTCTATAATTATGTCTTGCTTTTAAATGCATTTTTATTTATTTGTTGTTCTTTTTTTTTAATTTATTCAAAATTATTATGTTTATTTATCATATTTGTTCATTAGAATTATTTTCTATTCAGTGAATAATAATCAGCCGTTCGGCTCTGACTTACCAAAATTTAAGCAGAAAACATTCAAACACATTCCTTTGCTTTCTTTCAGGTTTATATCATTCTTCCCTATTTCAATAGTGTCTAGACTGAAGCCATACAATTTCACATTATGTAGTCGCGCAATCTGAAGTACTTCAAATTATACCGATTTAAATATTGTGCGTTTAATAGCGAAAAGCGTTTGTGATCCGTGTCTGCACAATGATAATAATAATCATGCAGAGTAAATCCAACAATTGGATGTAAAGAATAATGGAAAACTTTTCCGCCAGAAATTTTAACAGCAAAACCAGGAGAGCATTTTTGTTAATACTCTCTCCCATCGAATGGGACCTCCCTCGACGGTGCAAATGTAAAAACGTCTCTGCGATTCGACGATAAATGAAAGGGAGCGTTGCAAACAACTTTGGATTGAAACGAGCTCCATGAATATATATATATATATATATACCGTTTCAATTTAATCTTGTTAAAAATTTATAATTAATTTCCAACTATTATAATCGCTTGGGACGTATTTCAATTATAACTGTTCGAATATTCTGCTTATCAACATTTTACCAGACACAAGAAAACCAGATGATCCACTCTAAATGTTTCGATTAATTTAATTGTTTTTGAAAATTGAAATGATTGTAAACAACTTTTTCAAATATTATTGCCTGTTTAAAAATATAATTTCTTTAATTTAAAATATTCACAATCACCATTTTCTATTATATATAACTATTTCATATGATATCTATTACAATTAATTTTATATTTATCGACTTACACTAAAACTTTTGGATCTAATTAACCACATAAGTCTAGGATTATTTTGCCGAGAACGACTATTTTTACGGCCCATCATAAAACCATAAACTTATGTTATTGTTTGTAAAAATAATATAAACTATATAAATAAGTAGTCTTTCCGCTATTGTTATTCGCAAATATAGGTATCCCCCGACTTACGAACTAATTCCGTTCCAAAGGGTTGTTCGTAAGTCGGAGGGAATTAAATTTCAAAAGAATACTTATCACACTTTATCATGGTTTTTACATTTATATATGTTAAATTCCGTATTACTGACTGCCTAAATTTGAAAAAATAGATTAAACAAAATACTTACAAATACTTTTCAACATAGACATCACAATTATTCAATAAAAAAACGACAAAAGGAACAAATGCAATGCAAAACAGATAATACATCTTTCAAAAATATTATATTTTATTAAAAAAATTATCAATTTTTGTTTGGACATTTAATTTTTTATCGCTATATATCTCCTTGTAACGAGTTAGAGCATTTAGAATTTTGTTGGTAAGTCCGGAGATACCTGTATAGAGCAGAGTCTTGTGTTGATTACTCTGTAGCCCAAATTATTATTTGTAAATAAATAAACTGAGAAATATTTAAAAGAAACAATGTAACATAGGTAATATAAATAATTAAACATTGTTTTAAGGTTGATAACCAATAATATTTAATATTCTTTATCAATGTACATTAAATATATAGCGTACTTAATAATAAATTGTTTTTATAATTATATCTATAATATATTTGCAAACAACTTTTCTTCGTTCGTCTCCACATTTCGGCTTCGGCATGTTCATTACTTTATTCGCTTCGCCTTCATTAATCGTGTATTATTAGCGTCTGGGAACATATTTTCTGAAATATATAATAAGTTGGTCTTCTAACTACGTAAGATAATCCCCCAAAACATAAGTATATAAAATAATGAAAAACCAACAAACTACTTTAAGCACTAGCGTATAGATTTTGAATATATGCCTCTGATAATCACGATATCCAGTCCATTTCCCCGTATTTACGTTTCTGTTTATTAAATTTAGTGGAAATAATAATAATATTATGTTTTGACCATGATGCAATATTACACATCTTCAACTACATGATGTGTTGAGTGTGATGTGGCATTGTGGGGAAGGAACCATTTTGTGGCATTGGTGGGCCATTTGGTTGAATCCCAACTCCTGGGGGAAATCTGCAAAACGTTAAACTTATCTCAGATTTGCACAAACACATTGAATAAATATTTATTTCATAAATTTCAGTTCCTAGAGCAAAACAATAATTTTAGTTTCTTTTTATACCAAACATTTAATATGCACTTACGTATGTGGTGGTGGTGGAAAATGGGGCGGAAATCTTGGATCTTGTTCTTGTACCATCTGCTGCGGTGGTGGACCCATATGAAGTCCATGTGGAGGCATACTTTGAGGCGGTATACTTTGTGGTGGTAAACTTTGCGGCGGTGCGCTCATTGGTGCTTGCATTGGATGCATACCGGGCGGCATTACATGATGTTGCTGCGATGGATGGGGTAAACTTTGCGGTGGAATACTGTTGTACTGATTTAAATGAGGAGGCATTGGACCACCCATCATAAACTGCCTATCATGGGGCATAGTTCCATAAGCCGGCATCGGAGGACCCATATTAGGTGGTGGTTGATGCGGCAACGTACCATTGAATGCCTAAATCAATGATTCATTACAAAGTCAATTATTAGAATGATTTGAATTGAATACCATCGCGGGCTGAGAACTGGATGGATAACCGTACGGCATTTTGTTCACGGGTAAATTATTAAATTGATGTTGTGGTTCCCTCATCAATGAATGATATAGATTCAAGGCCTCCACTAAATCGCCGCTCAACTGCGTCAGTTGCGCGTGTTTTCTATCAACGCGTTCTAATTCCTTATCGATCAATCCACCCATACTGTTAACCTCTCCTAGAAACAAATACAAATATAAAGACGTATGGAAACAAACATATCTACAATAATACAACGATTATTGCCTACTTTCTAAGGTCAGCATTTCTTTGGTATCTTGGTCAGGATTTGTAGGATCCGCTTCATGAAGTAAATGCAACAATCTATCTATTTTATCCTCATTGATTTCAACATTTTTTGGCTCCTTCATATCTTCCAATTGCTTATCCCAACTTTCATCCACTTGCTGCAATTTCTTCTGCTTTTCTAATTCTACAATAAGAAAAGTAAATAAATGTAGGTTGAAATACAAATAATTACCTAATTGCTGTGGATCCATCGATAAATCTGCAGTAACGAAATTTGAGGGGAACAGTCCTTCTCCAGTTAGATTCTTCCCTTTCCACCAATTGGCATCAGAATCATCAAGCACAAAAACTAAATAGATAAACGATGTTAATATATAAAAAGAAACGAAATTATTTAAACTTACTTATATCGCCAGTGTTAAAAGTTAATTCATTATCTTCAGCTGCTTCAAAGTCATACAAAGCTCTGACCTTGCGAAGTTCTTTATTTGTATTGGTAGATAATGACAAATTAGCAGAGGGATATAATGAGTTGGAAGTATTTCCAGCTGCATTTCTTGGTGAGCCAGATGTATCTCTTAGTGACAATTCTATTGCCTTGGCTATCTGATCCTCTTCTTCTTGTGATTGGACAACATTTGGATCTTTGCTCAATACTATCTTCTTTGGCTGAAACAGTAACTAAATAAAATATACTATACACAATAATGTCAATAATGTTACTTGTTCTTCTGTATTGAAATTATATCCACTACTTTTTAGATTAACATATAAGTCCTTTATCAGACTGAGCTGTTGATCACTCTTAAATTCTCCTTCAGCCCATTTCTTTAAACTGATTAGCAGCTTTTTCTTAACAGTTGGATGAGTTTTCTTTATTAGCTTAATATACTCATTTTCAAAATCCCTAGATGCAACTTCAATATGAAACGTTTTTCCACAATTTTTGACACAAGCATCCAACAACTATAAAAAATAAAATAATAAATATTTTCTCTTACCAAACATTTGATTAATACTCACAGTGACACCTTGTATCGCCACATGAGGATCTTCATGATTAATACGTCTTAAAATGGCTTTTAAATATTCTTTTGCTTCTTGGCTAGACTTTCCTGCTTTGTCACATATTTCCATAATAACACCCCATTCCTCCGAAGTGTTATTTTCATCTGTTGCTTTGTCTATAATAGTTTTAAAATGATTGAATAAACATAAAACAAAACAGGCAATATATATACATATATATATATTCCTTTTCCTTTTAGTATATCTGATGACAATATCAATTATTTCTTATGACTCACCAACATCGCTATACAATCCCATCTTTTCACGAAACGAAAGCATTGGTTCACTAGTTAAAAGTTTTAAAAGTTGTTCAGAGATTTCTTTGTTGCAGTTTTTTAGAACTATTTACATAATTAAATTTAGTTGTCTTGAAGGAAAACAGTAGTGTCTGGTAGTGTCAATTCAATGACTTTGACCAACTTTGACGTTTATCTGGTTTATCGTTCGACTTATTTCGATTCATTACACTGAAGTTGTACGCGATACTTTCTAATCTATATACTGCTATATACAGTGTGAGCAAATGATTCATTGTTGTAAATGACTCACATTGTTTAATATTTAGATAATAAAAGGATCTAATATACATTACTGGAGTCGATGTTTATCAATAGAATCNCCACACGGCTACGGCCGCCCTGAAATTATTATATATTTGATATTTTTGTTGATTACGACCTTGTCAACACCACAATGCAATGTTTTTTTTTTATTTGGATCTGAAATTCAAACTCATCTCTTCGTATCCAATCTTCGTAATACATGCTTTACCATTTATTTTTTTAAATAAAGAGATTTATATCAATTTTATTATTGATATCTATTTGGCCCTATTTCTACCCCTTTCCGGTATTATCGTCCCCCACAAATTTTGTTGGATTTTAGGAATCGAACCAACGACCTTTCGCGTCAGTTTTCGTGATACAGGCTTTGCCATTGCGTCGTGGATTTTTTTCTTCTGACTTTGATCAATGGAATTATGCAACTTAGCTTGCATCTTATAATACCTAAAGTGAGCCCTTGCCTTAGAGTTGCAAGAAATTGATAACAGACAGGATATTTCTCTACACATACCCATTTTTCGTGTAGTCCTTTAAAAATTTTAAGTACAAAAGGCACTCGCGGACAAAAAGTTTGAGAAACAATGCCATACATAATACAACTATTTCTTCATTTTCTTGATTTCCTTATTTTTTGTTTTAAAATTAAGTCATGTTTTAAAATTCTCTCGTAATGATTGGTAATACAAGATAGAAGTAATGATACAAATATAGAAGGTACGCCAAAGCGCATTTTGAAGGTCACCAATGTTATAAAGGAGAGGACTTGAATGTAAACAAAGCTTGAGGTTAAGAAAATAAAGTATTGAAGTATTCACTAATAACAAAAAGTACTATTTAATAATAAATCAATAAGTAATGAATTAATATTAGTCATTTTGTGATTCTTGTCTTCTCTATAATTTAAGTTTGTCAATTTGACAAAAGTAATGCCTGTAATGTACCTCTTATACTTTTCGATTAATTTGCACTTTCACATGATTTTTTAAAAACTTCTAGGGATCATATCGCTCTTTCATAATACGTGGCAACAAATAATACGTAATAACATAATTTATTAATACCAGTATCACTAACTGCTTCAATACAAGAACTGGTAATCAGTAATGCTTTCTTTTTTTTGTTGATGAATTTGCTCCTTTTCTTTTGGCCTTTGCTTCATTTAGTCCAAAATTATTCAATTGCATATACTTTTGTATTGCAAATATTACAATATGCATCTCTCCATTCTCTCTAGGAAAAGCCTATACCAAGCAATTGATGTTGACATGTTGAGTCCAGATTCTTCCAACAACTTCCTTTTTTACGTTGGCTACAGTGGCACGTAGAATTTTAGGTTACGTATACTTGCAGTTGTTTACAATTATTAAAGTCCAAATTTGTACAAATCCTATTGATACTGCTGTAAAAAAGTTCAAGCAAATACTTTGTAGTAGATACAGGACTTATAGTTTTTTATTTGGTAAGTAGAAAAAGTGAAAGATATTTTTTGAACTCATTTCACCATTTCTTCTAAAAGTACGTTCAATTTTAATAGATAATGGCTTCGTTTTTTTAGTTTGGCATACATTTAAATTTATTATCAGTTCCATTTTACTAGCCGATTATATTATACAAACTCAAGACATTGACATCTCAAAAATGTATCCTGATGGAAAGTATGTGACAAACCTTTATAAAAACTGATATATGCATTTACTTTTGAATTTAGTACAGAATGTAATAATAATAAATATTATTTTTGCAGACCAGAATATCTCTACCAAATGAGAATGAGTACGCAACCTAGTCCAGCTAGTGCCAATGTTGATCGAGAGAAAATTTATCAATGGATATTGGAGCTAACAAATCCTGACACCCGCGAAGGAGCTCTATTTGAGTTGAGGTATATGAGAATAACAAAGTCCATTTGAGATTTTTTTTTATATATTTATATTTTCAGTAAAAAGCGTGAAGTTGTTCCTGATTTAGCTCCAATGCTATGGAACAGCTTTGGTACAACTGCTGCATTACTGCAAGAAATCATTAATATTTACCCTGCTATTAACCCTCCAACATTAAATGCTCATCAGTCAAATAGGTAAATATATTATTATATGAAAATTGATGAAGCTTATACAACAATATCTTTTTCAGGGTATGTAATGCATTGGCTCTGTTACAATGCGTTGCCTCACATCCAGAAACGAGATCTCAATTTTTATTGGCACATATTCCATTGTTTCTTTATCCTTTCCTTCATACCGTTTCAAAAACCCGTTCATTTGAATACCTTCGCCTAACGAGTTTAGGTGTTATTGGGGCACTAGTGAAAACAGACGAACAGGAGGTTATTACTTTTCTTTTAACAACAGAAATAATACCCCTCTGTTTACGCATTATGGAATCGGGATCTGAACTAAGTAAAACGGTTGCGACATTCATTCTTCAAAAGATACTTTTAGATGAAAGTGGATTATCGTATATATGTCAAACATACGATAGATTTAGTCACGTTGCTATGATTTTAGTAAGCAAGTTTTATAAACATAATTCAATTTTTACTTATGTGCATATGTTGTAGGGTAAAATGGTGCTTTCTCTAGCAAAAGAACCATCTGCAAGACTGTTAAAGCATGTCGTTCGTTGTTACCTGAGACTTTCCGACAATCCACGGTAAGGTTTCCACACTTTATCTTATTACTTTTTTTTTTTATAAGTTTTTCTTCTACTTATAGAGCACGTGAAGCATTGCGTCAGTGCTTGCCAGATCAATTGAGGGATACAACTTTCAACAGTTGTTTGGCTGAAGACAAGTCAACTAAACACTGGTTAACCCAACTACTAAAGAATTTAGATACACCAGGGAATGGAGCGGACCAACAGGTTGGCATTTCACCTCTAGCATCCCAATAATATTGTTATGAATATACATCCCTGTTGTTCAAACGTTCAATCCAGTGGATCTGAATTTTAATGCTCCACGGATATGGGCTACTAATAATTGATTGTGATTTTCTTCAAGATAATTTTATCATTATTTTTTTAAATGTTATTAAGTATTTACTGAGTTTTGTGTAATGCTGCTATTGTATAAATTCATTATACATGTGTGATACAGAGAGTATCATATCTTATTACTGTAGTTTACACTGGATTGAAATGCCCAATACTTATTTAGTTGACTCGTATATCAAATAACTTGTTTTCTTTGACAAATTAATGTATTATTTATAATATATTTAGATATCAAGATATCTTTGTTTGCGGATTTATATAGTTTTGTGAATGTACTTCTTACTTTAAATGTGAATGCAATATAATATTGTTATAAGAACTGTGGTTTACTTAGGAAAGACAATTTTAATTTCTACCGTTTTGATCACAATTATGTGCTTTATATACTTTACACTATTAACGTTTCTATCGGTTTGATACCTTAAATGCTTAAAGGATGACTTTTTTGTATAATTAAAACACTAATTTTTAATTCACATTGAATGTATACATTTTGTTTTCAAATGTTTTGATTTTTTTTAGAAGAATTTGCAATTAATTTATCATATTACTAAGAACAAAAATAGGCAACCATACAGATTTATGTTTGTACATTAAGTAATATATATTAAAACCTTAACAAAATTTAAAATGTTTTTAATTACTATAAATAAAGCGTTTATATTTAAAAAATCACCTGTTAACGACAATCGCCAGTTATATTTGATATTAATAGTAATTAATCACTAATATTATTAATTCAAATTAAATTCCATACTCCCTGTACGAACAGTTGCCTACTCTGTGGGGTAATCGTTACATAATTTATATAAGGCGCCGTGGCTTAGTTGGTTAAAGCGCCTGTCTAGTAAACAGGAGATCGGGAGTTCGAATCTCCCCGGGGCCTAGACGTTAGCAAACAACGTCATTTTTTTTATATATTATATATTTTGTTGTGTATTTTTAATATATGATAAAGTATATTATCATGTAACTGATTGATTTATTTAGTTCTGGGTGGGCCAACTTGGACTGAGTATTTGAAAATAATTATAACTTTTGAGTTCATTTTTTTATTGATTATAAAGCATTTTAAGAAATTTTATAATTTTCCGACAATGTATTGTTACAACGCACAATCAATGCAGATAAATATTTAACGGCGCCTGATTTCTTTTTGCAGTGTTTATTACCAGAATAAACTTGAATTTTTAGGCTTATCCTACTATGCCCGCTCTAGGAAAATGCATTATGAAAGAAAAGTGTTTAATATTCTTCTAATAAAAATATTGACTGTTATTTTACTTTATAATTTAAATGATAGTTTTACTTGTAAGCAAATTTGATCCGAAAAATAATAGTATTTATACTTATTGATACATCAAATAACATAACGCAAAAATATGAAATCTATATTTTAATAACATGGCAGAAATTGCTTTAAACAATAATATAATTGGTTTATTGCTAATATTATACAAAAATATTATAAGTTGTAACTTATATATTAGCAATTGAGAGGGCACCTAGGGTGGTAGCACTTTGCAGTAAATCAATTTGGTATTAATTTTCTTATTATGTTATTTTGTTGAGTTTGTTATTGGTTATTTGTTGAAATAAATGTTATTATTATTGGCAATTTAAAATTAAAAAAAAATATTAGAAAAGATGTTAAAATACAAACATATAAATTAAAATAAAACTATAGATTATAAAATACAGGTGCAAGTTGCACAGAAAAAGCATCTCGGAATCAATTAAGACTAGTCAATCGAAACTAATTATAGAAAAAAAGCTGTTATTTGTTGTTGTTCTATCTGGATTTGAGTATTAAAAAAAAACTAATTAGGTATGCAAATTAGTAACGTTAACACAAATGTTATTTGATCCTGATGCAAGAACTTGCATAATATTAAGTCTACCGAATAACCATCTGGTAAACAAATATTAATTATCTGTTCAAGATCAATAGTAAATTTTACCGATATAAACACAGCAATACTTCGTATTGTCCGGATAATTGCGGTTTCTGCCAACATAGTTATATAGTTAATACGGACTGATCGAAACCGCACTATGTGAGGTATTACTGTACATTAAGTTTAGAAATTAAACTTTTCTTTGCCTATTGAAATATACTAATACCTTAACTTGTAAAGTCTTATGAGATTCTGTCTTTATGTTATCTGTGATTATTTTAAAAAAATATGTTGGACTTCTCTGAACGATGACATTTTTTTTGTTGAGAAAAACCAAAATTTTGATTTAATCGTTAAGTAGACATGTGGGAATTATGTGCGTTCTTTTAACGAAATTTGCAATCATGGTTTAGCATAATTGGAGCCGGATTTCAAAGATACAGCATCTAATCTCCTCATTCAAGGCTTGGCTGATCATGGTCTTGATGACTTAAAAAAACCCTAGAGAAAGAAGTCCAAAGTCATAGATCTAGGGGGTTAATTTTGGTCGCCTAAACGGAAGATTACACGACCAGGGAATGCTGGGACACAGAAATATAGAAAAAGTAATTATGTTTATAGAAATTTTAAATATAAAAGAATTTAACATTATTCGGATTATCTTGAAGATTGTGTGTTGTAATTATTGGTTTTGGTTGATGCTTTGGAATGTATACTATGTAGATTCTACAATCTAGACGAAGTGAGAAGCCCGAAACAATTGTTTATTCTTTTTCGAGTTATAGTAGTTTTATCTTTATAAAGCAAATATGATATACTATGATTGATTGATTGATTTTGCGATATAACTAAGAATGCTGATAAGTAGAATTTTACTTTTCCAGGTACTACCTAACATTATTTATATTTATTCAATGGTCCCATGAATTCAACGACCTCAAAATTGATTATCGCATACAAAAAAAAATCAGAATTTGTTCATTGTAATTCGATAATTCAATAATATTTTCGAAATTTTATATATTTATTTTGTTCTTTTTGATTCTGTATATGTTTTTTTTGTACAACTGATGCAATAAACATTATTATTAAGAATAAGTAATATATTTTATGTGGATCTTCTTTATTAATATATAAAATTAGATTATAACATAATTTGAATGCGAAACTTATTATAGTGATTAAAATATAAATAACATTAAAAATGAGGTATTACATAAGTTAGAAGGGTGAACAAAAGTTGCACGACATTTACAGTTTTGTCATTAGTGTTGACCTTGAAGAAAACTGTGCCGAGACCTTAATTAGTTCTAGCCATCAAATGATGGGCAACTGCGTATCTTTGTTGCGCTTATTAGGAGCGAAGTGTATCTACGCTGGACGCGCGTAATTGGATTACAATCGGGCGTAAATTGGGAGTATACATTATGTAAAGCATAAAACATATACGTTATTGGTTGCAATTAACTCCTCCCATCAAGTGCAGTGTGCAAAACGAAAAATGCAATTGGCCAATGTGCAATTACACTCTATGTACGTGTACGTGTATATAGATACTGGCGTCCGTGAGCTTGTGTATACATACGCATACATACTTCACCGGAACTCGGTTCGGAGTATGCACATGTAATCTTGCCGTATGTGCAGACTCATACACACACACACAAACATCAACGACTGCATATGTAGATTAAACTGGTTGTGTCACGTCTATTTCTGTTCTCCCCCAATTTCCGCCATTAAAATTCCTTTGCGATTGAAACACTGCATATACACTTCCATGAAATGGAGGCCAAAAACTGTACAAAACAATTGCTCTTCCAATTAAACGCCGACCGGCGCGAAATTTAGGAAGAGCAGACAGAAAAAAAAATGAAGATCAAGGAAGGATAGGATGCAAATCGGAGAGTGACCTTTTCGGAAATTAAGTGGCCAACTTAATTTCCTCGCGCAGGCTTCAGCTACAATGCAATTAAAAACCGCGCATCGCGTAAGTCTTAATTAACGTTCATTATATTATGTAAGGTCCATTATCTATGATCTTGTTGTTCGTTGGATCTAACTAAACATTCTCAAATAAAGAGAGAAAGAGAAACAGAGAGAGAAAAACTAGTTTGCCGTAATGGGTCCCGAGGACAACCAGAACTTATAACTTCCGGCGAAGACACCCGGAGGATGTAGCCCTCTTATGTAAGTAGGGTTGTTCACATTCGCATATTCAATTTCATTATGTACGGCCTTTTCGCATCTGTAATAGTAAATAAGCGCTGTTTATGTATGTAATTTTTTATATCTATTTCCTGCTCTATTATTTATAGATGATGAAATTTGGTTTTGAATAGGGACGAGCGGAGCGAGAAAAAAAAAACTAATTTTAATGAGAAGGGCTACTGCCACTACCTAGATGAGCTTCTTTTTTTATTTCGTTATCATGACATCTGTCAAAGTTGCTGCGTTGCCAGATTTGCATCGGAGGCGTGCAGTTAATTCGGCGCGTTTGGGAGGATCGATAGATTTGTGTGTATTTCTGTGCAGATATAGATAAACATTCCGTGGCTTTGTGCAATTAATAATGGAATAAGTAAATAGCCCTCTATTCAGGGACGTACTTTCCCTATCGTTTACTTAGTTTCACTTTCATTTCGCGTAAACGCGATGGAGGGGTTGCGTTCTCGTTGTATATGTTGTTTTTTTCTCTTCTTTCTATTTCGCCTCCCCGACGTTTCAGTTTTATTTTCGTTCGTCAAGTTGTATCCACACTTTGCAGTGCAGCCGTCCACCCTCGTCTTTCGCTGTTTCTCTCGCCCTGCCACGAAATCCCCCTCGTGTTTCTCCCGCGCTGCCGCCCCATTGGTCCATCTGGAGGCGGCCATTACGAAAAGGGTTTTACACCACTCGCTTAGGGTGGGGGACGACTCATTGCCCTCTGACGTCACGTCCTCCCGAGGGGGGTGAATGGCACCCCTGCTCATACTTTGCCGTTGTGGTGGCGCTGCCTTCGTTTTCTTATACATCTTATCCATATTTGTATACGCTTATTCCGTTGTTTTTCGCATTCTCTCTTTTTCTCACAAACACACACTTTATCTACGACTTGTTTTTTTTCTCTCGCATCCCTTTGTCTTTTACATCCTGCAGCATTCGCAGCCTGCTTTGCCCTACAGCTCGTTGCAAGTCTCACCCTCCAACAAATGGCGATTGCGATGCAGCGGGGGCGGCAAATGGGAATCGATTTTCCTGCGGGGGCCTTCCTGAATAATTAATGCGATATTTTGAACCTTTCGCTATTTTCCTCCTTAAATCAGATGCCTCCTGACATGACTCTAACGAAAGTAACGTTAATAATCTAATTAAATCTAATATTTCTGTGTTAATTTAATCTGAGCTCGATTAATATAAAAATCATTTGTTTCAATGAACT